TGATAGGATTGTTAGTATTGATTACTTCTTAACTGTATATAACTTCTATAATTAATGTGTTTGAAATTTATCCATAGAGATCTGTATGTAGACTTCAATAGATACTTTAAATTATTGTTTTATTAGTGTCCCTTTAATGATTATATTATTGTCCTTGCTTCAGATTCTTAGTAGCATCCAGGTGTCTGACTAGAAACTTCCATAGCTATACAGTGATACAAATCTTGTCTCAGTGCCACCAAATTTTCATATCCTATATATATGTATGTATATTTATTCTTAGTAACAGTTAACTACATATATGTGTGTATATATATATCAAGAACATATGCATATGCCTTAAAATGACTTAAAAAATTGAACTCGTAGACAAAACAACTACAAAGTTTCAACAATCAATAACTTGAGCCATATCTTTCATTATCCAATGTATCAAAGAAAAAAAATTAAAAGATAAGATTAGTTAGAATCATTTGCGATATTAATGATAATAATATTAACGAGATAATATACATATATATGAATATATTGCTTCTTCATTAAGCAAAATATTGTGCTGGACAGCATATATACACATTACATATGCACATACATATATATAAGATGCTGTATAAAGATTTATTGCAATGATGAAAGATGGATGGCGAAAAGTTTGCTTCCTCTTGTGACAATAATAAAATAAGGTCTACTGTAAGATTGAAAAATGTGTGTTGGAGAGTTTTGAGCACCTGCCAAGATCTTAATTTTCATTGAACGAAATCCTCTAGTAGTCAACGAGTGGTATTTTGTCTCCCTCTTGTATCAACTTCAAATTTCTTTTCTTCGTAACATTTGTTTATGTATAGAAAATTTGTAATATAATCTTCAACTCCTAAACTAAAACCCTTTTGAAACAAAAGCTCCAGAACAAAATACTAAATATATTCAGCTAATCATGTTAGAATCATCTCGAAAAGTGATAACCATAACTATCTAACCACCATCCCTGTAGCACACTCATCTGTACCAGTTCACGTCTGCGATGCTATCTCCTCCAGATTGTCTATCTCATCAAGACTTCATCTTTATCTTAATAACTCTGACATATTTATCTTGTCCATTATGTATATATCTCATCCTACTTCCTAACTTCATTATTATTTAAACAATAATATATCTTTAATAAGAACATAATTTTTTACTTTATTTTTGGGTTCATAATAGTTAGGGATAGGGTTGATCTGAGTGATGAGAGCATGTTCGTTGTCCAGAGAGCGAAGATTTCCTGTAGAACCTTGAAGATGACTTTGATCTCCTCACCAAGACGAAGGCCAATAATATCGTGCAGCCACTTGTGGAGGCTCAATTGCCTTTTTATGGACGGCAATTTAACAATCAATTTTCTTTCTATGCACGACAATTTAACAGAGAATGGTGGGAAATGTATCATTTTTTTGGGAGTTAGAGAAAAGGAAGAATATTTCCTTTCCATGGGGGCGCGAACATGAAGAAAATGACTATTAGACTTGCAAAAGAAGTATGTGTACTCCAAATTCATTGTTTATTGTGTTACTCTTCTTTTTCTAATCATTTTCATGTATTTGTTTCTTCCACTTTTAGCATGCACTTATTAATTATTATGTAGGTTGACATGACAACTCTTGTGAACATGACTGATGAGGATCTCAAGGCCTTACGAATACTGACGGTAACTTTAAAATTGACTCAACGATGACATGCCTAGCTTTGTATTACCACATCCGACACTTCTTTTGTTTGATGCCAACATCTTACTCTTATTTTAGATGATAATGGATTCTTGCAATGCATATTTCATTAGGTTAAAATGATAATATACATATTCAATAATCAATTAGCACATTTGAATGGGTCTATGCCATGTCTACTAATGGATTTGGCGTGTGTTGAAAACTTAGGCTAGGACGCTGTCCAGATGGCTTTATGTTCTTTTTGTTCTTGCATTTTATCTCAAAAGCTCTGGCCATGCATTTTAGTATTTATTTTTTAAGGTTATAAAATTAACACATAGTTCTGCTAGTCTCCTATAGTTTTTGTTAAGAATTAATTTGTAAATTAAAAATATAATTAATTTGTCTGTTAGTAATCGAATTTCATAAATTAGAATTTTTATATATTCTTTAATTTGTTAGTAGTTATGGGTCATAAATTAAATTTATTTTGTTTGTTAGAAATTATAATTAATTTTAGTAGTTATAATAATGCCTATAAATAATAATATATTTAAATTTTTTTTGTAACAACCACACTTAGAGGCTTTTCCAATAGTCTAATTATTTTAATCTGTCATGACAAAGATTCTGGTCTTTGGAGGGAAAAAGTCAGCTAGTCAGTCTGTAGATTCTAATTATTTTATTCTTTTTCTTAGCCACTCTGTTTTTATACAGGGAGAAGAATCTGTGTATCAAATAGTGATTCTAGTAGTATGCATGCTGCGATCAATGCATATAACATTTGGAACTTTGATAATTGAACATTCAACAAAAAGAAAAATTTACAAAAGAAGGACGGACCAGATATGTCCAAGTATTCCCTAATTATTTTAACAAGACATTTTCAAGATTTTACACATTCTTAAGAAAATTAATTTGTTGGAAGTTTAAACAACTTCAACTGATTTTGAAATAAAGAAAATATAGGCGGTAGGATAGTAGAGAGGAGGAAGAGTGGAAGTAACAATAATGGTACTTTTGAGGGGAGTAGCTTAGCAACAGTGTATTTGTATGTATAGACTAACAGAGAAGGAAATAAAATAATTATTTTTTCCTAGAAAAAGAAATGAAATCACCATCAAGCATTTAATGGTTTATAGAAAGGAAGTGAAGTCACCGTCAACCAGTAAATTAGTATAAATATATATATATATATGTATATATAGAGACCTGCACAAGCAAGCTGTGAAATGCTCAGTCTCTGTTTTCGTAATACCTAATATGTAATAGGACATGCCTCCCTTTTTTTTTCTCATATCTATCATTGCAGTAAACCTTTCTTTTACTCACTCTCTCTATATTTTCAATGCATCTGACAATTTTTCCGGCGCTTGGGGAAAGAGGAAGAGCTGACACATAAAAGAAACAGAAAAAAAAAAAATGAAAAGACTCTCTTCTCATATCCGTTGCCCTCCAAAATTGAAATCTGAAAACTTAAGACGCCATCTTTTCTTTATTTTTTCTCAAAAATCTTGCCACTTTCCACTCTCCACTTGACTTGGGCTACGTTTTTTCTTCAAGCAGCTCTTCATCTTGAACACACCATCTCCTGCTTCCCGCCTCATATGCTCATTGCTACGTTTTAAAGATGAAGAAAATCTAACCCCCTTCCGTCATTCACTTTCTCTTCTCTTATCCATTCCCCTCCAAGCCCCAACATGAAATCTGATAATTTGAAACACCAAAAAGAACACCCCCGCAGGCCCATGGATCATTACAATCTTCAATTTCTACACTCCACGATGGCAATCACATTTCTCAACAACCTTCGCTTTTCTCCTTGGTTCCCCTCAAAACCTCAATCCAAAGGTTTTTATTTTATTTTATTTGCTTTGTAGTCTCGTTCTGTTATTTTTTTAAAATTTATTAACTCATTTTTTAAAATTTCTTTTTGTGTTGTTTGGTTGTGAAAGGGATTAGATTTGATGGGTCAATAGTGGATATGTTTCAACTGGGAAAGATGGAGAACGGTGATGTGGTTGTGGAGACAAGCATTACGCGTACTTTGCCTGCAGCATTGACGTTTTGGTGCGGGCTTGAGAGCATCAAGGAAGCTTTGGAGGAGTTGAAGCTCAATCCTCCATCTTCTTCTCATGGGATCATAAGATTTCAGGTGCACCTCATTATGCATATAGAGTTAACTGTTGATTTTGTTTTCTTATAAAATATCTCCTTTTGGCTATGTGGGTATGTGATCATAGTTTTAATTTGTTTCAAACCGGCAAGTAAGTGATTTATTATATTTTCCAAGTGAAAATCAGCTTTCGTTTTTGGACGAAAAATTTTTAATTTGCAATGCAGGAGAGAAATATCTCAGTTCTTGTTTTGTTGTTTCTTGGTGAGATGGTTGTGGAGACAAGCATTACGCGTACCTTGCCTGCAGCATTGACGTTTTGGTGCGGGCTTGAGAGCATCAAGGAAGCTTTGGAGGAGTTGAAGCTCAATCCTCCATCTTCTTCTCATTGAATTATAAGATTTCAGGTGCACCTCATTATGTTTATAGAGTTCACTGTTAATTTTTCTTTCTATTTTTTGTAAAATATCTCCTTTTTGCTATGTGGATATGTGATCATTGTTTTAATTTTGTTTCAAACTAGCAAGAAGTGATTCTTTCTTTTTTCAAGGTAAACAGAACCTATTTCAAATAGTTTATGCACCTCTATTTACATAATTTTAATTTGATCGACTTTATGCAGTGTCATCAAAGAACATAAGAGGATAACCATATAACACAAACATAATCACCTAAATAATCTTATGCTATTTAATCTTTTACTTTTTATTTTGAAGTTATTTAAATTTAATTCATAAAACTACATTTTTGATTAACTAATAAATCAGTTATTAGTTATCATTGATATATAAAATTTTTAGTTATTAGTTATTACATGCCTAGTTTGAGAGCAAAGTGAGAAAAACGATACATGATATTCATAGAGAATAGGCTGTAGCATTATTAGTTTTTTATAATTACAGGACTTGAATGAGACTTTATTCATTCAAAGTTAAGCTGTTGGATTACGTTAACCTTGTATGTCTTCTTGCTGGCGTTTATGCATACGAGTAACTCTGGCATTTATCATTTTATTTATGGTCGTTTAGCAGATGATTAGACTTTCATTTTTTTACTTTGGAAAAAAGTTGAAGTGTATCTTACAACCCAAGGCGGTTCTACCATACAGTTGAAATTTAATGTTCTCTTAAAAGATGAAAATTGAATCTTTTGTCTGCTCGTATGTGTTTATTCATGCACTTATTTTTTCATACATTTTTAATTTTTTAAAAAACTCAAATTCATCTTACAAGCACAAATTCCAACATACAGTTGAAAATGTTTATATTCCTAT